TCGCCCGCCCGCCTCGTCGTCATCAGATCTCACCGTCGGATCCGTCGTTTGTTCCATAAGGTCGAATCGAAACTCTACTTTTAATTTCATTGTCAATATGTTATATGTGAATATAAAATTTTTAATTAAGTTTTTTAATTTTATTGAATAGAAATCATGTCTAATCCTTCGATTCAAGCGTCAAATAAAGAACAAACCGTTGAATAGAAATCATGTCTAATTTATACATAGATGTACTAATTCATATCCGATTCATATTCGATTCATATTCATTTGTCGAATATCTATTTCATATCCGTGACCATATCCGATACGATTCTCAAATATTCGAACTGTATCCATTTTCGATAAGTGCAGATATGGTTAGGGGTTTTTCTTACAAAAGATAATCTATATTTGTATCTGTATCCGTTTAAAGAAAACAGATATGGATATGGTAAGTGGCATATCTGAACCATATCCGCTCCGTTAACACCCCTACTCCTCTTTGGGAAGATTCATGCTTAGGCAACGAATCTGTCTTCTGGGCTTTGGTCATGTCTGTGACAATTTGAACCATTAGGATCGTGAGTTCATTGATGATCTCCTATTGTGATTTGAGCATGGTTTGCTTCTCATCAAGTCTCTTCACCGAATTGTCAGGGTTTCCTGCCATATAAGCGAAGCTCTCATGTTCTACGAAAGAGCTAGAGGATTGAGATTCTGTGATGGCTGAATGTTCATCATTAGAGCTAGCTCCTTTGGCCAATCTCTGATAATCAACAGGAGGTATGACTCACGTTCGAGTCCGAGTGTGTTGGTATATTCCTTCAAACCCACTCAGGATTTCTTTAATGCTAGGAGACTGGTTCGTTTCTGACCCATCGGAGCTAGAGACTAATGACTTCTCTCTACCGATCATATTGATGGTAACTCCAAGGTACTCATCCTCCAAAGTTTTCTCCTTATGAGAACGTCGTTTCTTATTAAGCAAAGTAACATTTGTCAGCCGGTCGAACACTGATAGTCTTCGTGCTAGCGCACAACATTGGCATTCTGAGAGGACCACATAAATTAGTCGTTCGTATAGGCATGAACGAGTGACTTATTGTACCGGTCTTTCTCTCGATAAGAACTCTCTCAAATCTCTTGCAGGGACTCAAGAAGAGTTACTCACTGAACGTGAGGTTTGAGTTGGAACCCCCTGCCTACGATTAGACGGGACTGGCTCCTAATGAACATGGATCTTAAATCCATGTTGGTCTTTCTGAACACAACGGATCATATCGCATTTAGTATTAGAAGCGCGAAGGTCGCGTTGAGGAGTTTGAACGCAAGGGTCACGAACGCGAAGGTCATGTTTTAGAGTTTGAATGCAAGGGTCACGTTTTGATTGAGGAACGCGAGGGTCGCGTTTTGATTAAGGAACGCGAGGGTCGCGTTTGAGAGTGGGCACATGAGAGTCATGTGCAACACTTTTCTAAATGCGATGTTCCTGTTTTTATTGATCAACGCGAAGGTGAGGTTCATGTTCAACGCGGACCTGAGGTCCGTATTTTGGTTGTAAAACGCGCCACTGATGGTCGCGTTCAGCCTGGCTCACGCGAGGCTCGTGATTGAGCACATAAACGTGAGGCTCGTGTTCTAAAGTAGAAACGCAGAGCTCAGGGTCACGTTGAGGCTCACAAACGTGGAACTCACGTTGGTTGGAGGATCGACTTTCTCAGAGTTGTACTCATCGCAGGGATCCTTTCCTTTGTTCATGGGAAAAATTAGAAGAAGAAAAT